CCGGCGCGGCCAGCCCTGGGGTGCTGCGCCCCCCAGCAGAGTGGGCTCCCAGCTCCCCTGCTAGTTGAGCGCTGCCTCACCCAGCGCCAGCGGGACACCGGGTCCTGTCCCTCTGCGGCCCTCCAGGGCACCCCCAGGCTGACCCCTGTCCCACTACACCACACTGCGTGGAGAGGGGCAGGCAGGACAGCAATGCCCGGCACGGACACACCGCCGTCCTGTCCCAGTGTCGGGCCCCTCGGTGCCGTGCCTCCATCTCCTCCCCACTGGGAGCAGGTTGGGGTTTCAGCCACCTCTGGGCAGAGAGTGGGGACCCCGGGGCTGTGGCCTGGTGTGGTGGCAGCAGGGGGTGTTGGGTGGAGGCAAAGGGCTCCCACCTGGGTCCCACTGGTGGTGGCTGGCAGGTGAGGCCCCGCCAGGTGGGCTGGGTATGGGGGACCCCAGTGGCCGCCATCGCACTGTGTGGGGGACCCCAGAGGCCACTATGGCACTGTGGGGGGGGAGACCAGAGGCCGCCATGGTGGGGAGCAGCCCAGGCCTTGACCAAGGCCACCACTGAGCAGCAGCTGAGCCCAAACTGCAGCCCTGGCTGCCAGGCTGCCAACCGCCACTGCCCCTGCCCCCTCCGGCCTCCCGTCCCAGGGGCCCCAGCCCCCACCCCCTGCTGTCTCCTGACTCCAGGTGAAGCCAGAGGTTGGCATGGAGCCCGAGCGCTTCTCTCTGATCTACTCAGAACACCCCTTCATTGTGCCAGGAGGGCGCTTTGTGGAGTTCTACTACTGGTGAGCGGCGGGGTGGTGGGGGCCCCGGCCGGGGGCAGCGGGCGGTGAGCGTGTGGGGCCACCTGAGCTGTCCCCCCAGGGACTCCTACTGGGTCGTGGAGGGGCTGCTCCTGTCCGAGATGCCCCAGACGGTGAAGGGCATGCTGCAGAACTTCCTGCACCTGGTGCGAAGGTAGTGGGCCACCCCGGGCAGGGGGGAGAGGGAGCCTCGGCTGGGAGTGACAGGTCTGGGCGTCCGGGCCATGGCGTGAGCCGGTGTCCTTTGCAGATTCGGGCATATCCCCAACGGGGCTCGTGTGTACTACCAGCAACGGAGCCAGCCCCCGCTCCTCACCCTCATGATGAACAGCTACGTGACTCGCACCCACGACCTCACTTTCCTACGGTGGGTGCCCATGCTGCTCCCAGACCCCCGGCCCTGAGCCCCCCACCTCCAGCTGGCTGCCTGGACTGAGGGGGCACCCGCTCCCCACAGGGACAACATCGAGACCCTAGCCTTGGAACTGGACTTCTGGGCCCAGAACAGGAGCGTGCCCGTTAGCCTGGGGGGAAAGACCTACACCCTGAATCGCTACTACGTCCCTTTTGGGGGCCCCAGGTGAGAGCTGCCAGGCCAGGTGCCTGAGCCACATTGGCTTGAGCATCATGATACCCCCCACCCCGGTGGGCGGTCCATGGTCTCCCCACCTCTCAGGTGCTGACACTTGGATCCCCGGGCAACGAGGTACTGTGGGGCCCAAAGGCGCCCGAGCCCAGGTGGCTCAGCCTCCGGCTGGGGCACAGAGGGACTTAGGGGCTCCTGGTGCCAGGCTGCCTGCTCTTCCCCGGCCAGGCCAGAGTCCTACAGCAAAGACATGGAGCTGGCAGAGACCTTGCCGGAAGGTGAGTCCCTACAGGGTGAGGGCGTCTGGGTGGGCGGGGAGCCGCGTGGCCAGCCCCAACCCCACTTGCTGCTCCTCACCCTCACAGGGAGCCGGGAGACTCTGTGGGCTGAGCTCAAGGCGGGGGCCGAGTCCGGCTGGGACTTCTCTTCACGCTGGCTTGTAGGAGGCCGGGACCCCGACCTGCTCAGCAGCATCCGAACAAGCAAACTGGTGCCCGTGGACCTCAATGCCTTTCTCTGCCAGGGAGAGGAGCTCATGAGCAGCTTCTACATCAGACTAGGTGAGCAGCACGCTCCGGGCCAGGGGCCCAGAGGGTGCTTGTGAGCCCGGCTGCGGCTCAGCCCTGGCCACAGAACTGGAAGGAGGAGCAGACAGGGCCTGCGGAGCCTCACCTCTAGTGAAGCGTGGCAAGAGGCAAACAGCCTCTCTTCTCACTCCTCCATTTTTTCCTGAAAGGGCCTTTTAGGGTCCATGAGAGAAAACTTTGGTTCACACATTCAAACTCCTTCTACTCCCTCTCCTTGCCCCCCTTGACCTCCAGGGCCGCAGTGGCCTCGAGAGGCGAGCCCGGGAGTCCTAGAGCAATCCAGGGCCATTCCCGAGGAATGGCAGGTCCCAGAGGCCTACAAGGTGTTGGGCTCCAGGTGGGGTGCGCCCTGGGTGCTTGGGATTTCTTAGCTCCGGGAACGAATGGGAGGTGGCCAGAGTGGGGTTCTCAAAGCATGGGGCCCAGGCTGTGGCCCCGCCTGAAGGCAGTGCCGCCCTAGGGAACACCACCCAAGCTGAGAAGTACAGGAAACTGCGCGACCAGCGCCTGGCCGCCATGCAGGCTGTCCTGTGGGATGAGGAGCAGGGCGCCTGGTTCGACTATGACCTTGACAGCGGAAAGAAGAACACAGCGTTTTACCCGACCAACCTCACTCCTCTCTGGGCCGGCTGCTTCTCAGACCCAGGAGCCCCAGACAAGGCTCTGAAGTACCTGGAGGTGAGGGCCAGCGGCAGGGCTGCTACAGGGGCTCAGGCCACTGCTGTCTGCCTGCCTGAGCAGTGACCCCTGGACAGGGCCGCCACTCCCCAGCGCTCCAGCTGGTCTTCGCCTGAATGTCCCCTGGCGCCACCAGGGGGCAGCTGTGAGCCGAGCCAGAGGGCCCAGCCAGGGGAACCTGGGCCTGGGGGGGGGGGCTCAGCAGCCTAGGTCCGCCCCCCCCCACCTCCACCCCCCACCCCCGTGCAGCCCTGCAGTCAGTTTTGTCTGGAACCTTCTAGGACAAGCAGATTCTGAACTACAAGCGCGGAGTCCCGTCCTCCCTCAAGAACTCAGGCCAGCAGTGGGACTTCCCCAACGCCTGGGCCCCCCTGCAGGACCTGGTCATCAGAGGTAGGGGCAGGCGCACCCCATGGGTGTGGAGGGTGGTGCAGCACGGGCCTCTCCCTGGACCCCCCAGCCTCCCTCTCAGC